TTTCTTGCTTGATTATGGAGGCTGGAAAATTAAAGCTCTAGCAGACTTATCCTGGGGAGACAAAAACAAACGTCTCCTCACCCTAGACAGAGCACCGGTGACTGATCAAAGAAAGAGATCCACCCAGATCCCTTAGTTGGCTAGGGTTACTTGGGAAATGGAGGTGAGGAGGTACTCAGAGGGTGACTCAGAGGCAGCTTGCATCACCAAAAGGCCTGTCCTAGCAAGGATGTTCACTCTCTGAAGCTGCATTTGGAGCTCCCTGCACAATTGCTATCAGATCCACTGGCAGGAAAGGTTCCTCTGCAACAACTCTTTCCGTTTGCAGAACCTTGTAACTTTCTGAATCCCCTGAGCCCTGCCACTTCCTTGAATTTCCTGAGTTCTGCATGTTGCCTGGACTTCCCCAGGGAAGGAAAGTTTCAATTCAAAGGAAATGGCTACACCACAGGTGCCTAGAGTGGCCCAGTCCCTGGTTCCTAGATGGTACCTTCTTGTCATCACAGCAGAAGGGACCCAGAAGCTCCCCAGAGTCCCTTGCCTGCTTCTTCCCGAGGTTAAGTCTCATCAAAGCTTGGGGTAGGGTGGGGAGGTGTGAAAGGTGAGCCGAACACCTGGGCTCAGGGGTGGGGACAACATTAGACAGGTGGCTGGCTGATCATTTGTAAGTTTCAGGTTCTTCGTCTGCTTGTATCTAGTAGCAGTGACTATACCGTGGGAGGTTCTGGAATACCCAGACCCTTCCAAGTCCAGTTAGAGTCAAGCTCCCCGGGACCTTGACCTTGCTTGGCCTGTACCCCTTCTGTGGAGGTTTCTGTCACAGTGCTGAGATCATGGGGAGGTTCTGGATGCTCTGCCCTCTGGTTCCTACAGGAGGTCATGGGTTGTCACTGGGCAACTCCAATCTTGGCCTCTGTCCCTGAGCGACTGACTGTCTTTCAAGGACGCTTGTCATTGGATCTAGGGCCCATCCATTTAAGCCAGGATGATCTCATCTGAAGTTGAATTACATCTGCAAAGACCTTGGTGTCCAATCACATCAGACCCACAGTTTCCAGGGACGAAGACATGCCCAAGTCACTGCACAGAACTTTCAGTGTATTGGACTCCAGCAGTCAGGAGGCTGAGGCAGGAGGATTGCCACAAGTTCAAGGCCAGTCAGGGCTGCAGAGTGAAACTCTGTCTCAAAAATAATAATAATAATAAAAACAAAAACAACAGCTTCTTGGTGACACTACAGTGAAGCATTAGATCCTTTTATAAAAGGCTAACAACCGAGCCAGGCAATGGGGGCACACCTTTAATGCCAGCAGAGGCAGAGGCAGGCAGATCTCTGAGTTTGGGGCCAGCCTGGTCTATAGAGCAAATTTCAGGACAGCCAGGGCTACACAGAGAAACCCTGCCTTGAAAAAACAATACCTGATGGCTTGTGCACGCACACACACACACAAGCACCCTTTTCTTGGCTCATTATTACCCAGACATGTTCAGCTGACGTTCAAATCTGATCCAGAGTTAGGATTAAAGGTGTCTTTCTGTAAGCTCCACTCCTGTGCCTCCCTCCAACAGTTAGAATGTGAATCTCTAATTATAGGCGGTGTTTGAGATTTACTAGATGAAATTATCAGCTGTAGATATGACACCAGTCTCGGGATATGGGGGGGGACATAGTGTTCTCATACAAAGCCCAATTGTTAATTGCTTCTTCGGCATTGAGCTATGCAAAAACAAAACACCCTTTTGGTGTTTAATTTTAAAAGTAAATGTGGCAGAAAGAACAGTGGGTTGTCGTGAAGGACCTGTGATCTGCAGGTGAAATATCTGATGTTTCTCAAGTCTTGGTGGCTTTATCTAGCAAATTGGGGACATGACACCAAATTTTCACTGCCCACTTAAAAAATTCAATTTTTGGCTCGATGAGGTGGCTCAGCTGGCAAAGGCACGTGCTGCCCAGCCTAAGACCTGAGTGTGATCTCCAGAACCAGGACAGGAAGGGAAAGACCTGACTCCTGTGTTGTCCTCTGACTTCCACATATGTACCGGGGTGTCCATACGTACACACACATGAAAGAAAATTTAAATGTAAATTCCTACAGCTTTTACAGAACTTCCTTTCTAGCTCTGGTAAACATAAACTTCTCATTCACATCCAGCCTCTTCCTACAACTTTACTTCACAGTAACCTGCTATAATTTTAATTTTATTTTTTATTTATTTTATGGGGGGTCAGTTTTTGAGACAGGATTTCTTTGCGTAGCCTTGGCTATCCTGGAAATTGTTCTGTAAACCAGGCTCCCAAACTCAGAGATCCATCTGCCTCTGCTTCCCAGAGCACTGGAATTAAAGGTGTGTGCCACCACCACCCAGCAATATAGTTTTAAATTTTTGTGGTGCCATCAAGACCTGGTTTCTCTTCCGGAGGACCTGGGTTCAATTCCCAGAACCCATATGGCAGCTCACAATTGTCTGGAATTCCAGTTCCAGGGGACATGACACCTTCACACAGACACACATGCAAAACACCAATGCACGTAAAATAAAAATAAATTTTAATTTTTTTTTAAAAAAGTCTTCCACCATGGATGCCACTACACAAACAGTTTATAATCCCGGAAAGTTAAGGCATTTTTGAAATACATCGCTAGAAACATCAGGTAGGCGGTTTACAGGAATCTCTGCAGTAGGTCTCCTATCTGAAGATATCCTTAAATTTGGGCATGAAGGAAAAGAGTGGTCAGCTAGAAATACATTCCAAAGGCTTCGGATAACAGTAAAGGGATGTCAGTTAGGTACAGAAGCGTGCAGTGAATATCTACCAAGGACACTAGAGATAGCCCCAAGGTAATCATGGTTCTTGATCCTCGCCATTCTAACGCTCTGTGATCATAATGTTACCATCATCAGTGAATCAACCTCGAGGCATCTTCAGGTCACAGCTTCCACTCTAAAGGCCGAGTGTGGGAACTGACCCCGGAGGCAGTCTGTGTTTCCTGGGGAAGCGTGGATATGTGATGGGATTCAAGGGCAACCTGAGAACCCTTGTCAGAGGCATCCCTAGGTGGCCTTGCACAACCTCAGCCACACCTGAGTTGTCTGTCATCTGAGTTACAAAGGCTGGGCTGCCACCACCCAAGCTTCTGGGTTCTTGTCTTCCCCTGTCTGCCTCTGTGTGTGTTCATATGTGGGGGTACACAGAGGTACAAGAGGAAAATCTTGTATGTTGGTTTGAGACAGCTGGTCTATAAGCTTTCCAATATCCCCCTGCCTCAGTTTCCCATTACAGCTGGACTTGCAGGTTTTTATGAGAGCCCTGGAATGTTTTACTAGCTAAGCCATCTATCTCCCCACCCTTCCATCTGCCTGCACTCCCAGGTCCTTCTGGGGAGGAGAGGCCATTATTTCTTTCTCCATCCTGCAGCCTGTACCCTGTGTGAGGTTTTTTGCAATTCTAGGGTCCTACACCCCGCTCACAGGATCAGGATCCCAGGAGAAGTGGCCAGACCCAAGACTGCACAGCGAGTCCCAGGGAACCTGCAATCCTTCCTGATGCTCTTGAGAATTATGTATTTTAAAACACAGCTGGGCGGCGGTGGCACACCCTTTTAGTCCCAGCACTTGGGAGGCAGAGTCAGGCAAATCTCTGTGAATTTGAGGCCAGCCTGGTCTACAGAACTAGTTCTGGGGCAGCCAAGGCTGTTACACTGAGAAACCCTGTCTTGAAAAACCAGAAAAAATAAATAAAAAGAAGCAGGAGGATCAGGAACTCAAATCCAGCCTTAATGGTGTAGTGTCTGAAGCCAGCCTGGGCTACGTGAGACCCTGTCCCAAACAACAAACACACAAGGAAAAAAAAAAAAACAAAAATATTTTTTTTCCTCTCCCATACAGGCTTCTCATTCTGTAGCGTTGGCTGGCCTGCAGTGTGATATAGATTAGGCTGGCCTCAAACTCACAGAGCTCTGCCTGCCTCTGCCTCCAGAGTGTTGGGATCAAAGGCATGAGCCACCATGCTCAACTTAATATAATTTTTCTTTTGAAGAAAGAAAAACATTGCAGTTAGACTAGTTTTTAATGACTATATTTGACACTTAAACATTTATATTTAATGTTAGTAAAGAACTAAGCCAATTGTGTTGTATTCTCCCATTTCTAAAATTGGAGTACATGTAATTCTTGTTTTTTGTTTCAATGTTGGTGATGAAACTCAGGGCCTCACATGTGTGAAGCAAGCACTCTATCATCGAGGGTCACCCCCCAGCCCTCGATCTCTTAAGTAGTGTGCAATTTCATGGTTTTTTGTATAGCCACAAGGCTTTGTAGTTACCACCACTAATCCCAGCACATTTTCCTTTCTTTGTTTCTTTAAATCCGTGTGTGTGTGTGTGTGTGTGTGTGTGTGTGTGTGTGTGTGTGTGTGTGTGTGTCTGTGTGTGTGTGTCTGTGTGTGTGTGTCTGTGTGTGTGTACACCTGAAGGTCAGGAGACAGCTTTCAGGAGGCCTTGTCTCTCCTCCCCATGAGGCAGGGTCTCTTGCTTGTCCACTTGCACAGTGTAGTCCAGGTTACTGACACTGGAGCTTCCAGCTGAATCTCCTGTCTCTACCTCCCTCCCATTGCCCCGTAGGCATGCTGGGGTTACAGATGTTCAGCACCACTTTTGGCTTTTTATGTGGGTTCCAGGAATGGAACTTGGGTACTCATGGCAGGTGTTTACCTGCTGAGACATCTCCCCAGCCTCTCCAGCATGTTTTCTTTCTCTTCTCGGTTACCAGGCTCCCCTTATTAGTTATCTCCACAATCTCCTCTCATTCTAGTTCCTAGTCACCATTGGTCTCCTTTCTGTCTGTGTAGATTTTGCCCATTCTGGACTCTTTTTTTGTCGGTGGAGGGTTCTCTGTGTGCTCTGTAGACCAGGCTGGCCTCAAACTCACAGAGACCTGCCTGCTTCTGCCTCCCTAGTGCAGGGATTAATATACCAGTTCGCTCTGTGTATCTTTTCTAGGATCCTAAACACTTCAAGTCTGAGAAGACAGGCCGGGGGCAGCTAAGAGAAGGCTGGCGGGATAGCCATCAACCCATCATGTGCTCCTACAAGCTAGTGACCGTCAAGTTCGAGGTGTGGGGCCTTCAGACACGAGTGGAGCAATTCGTGCACAAGGTGAGTGACCGGCTCAGTCCCTGGGACTCAGACAAGGTCACTGCACGGTTGCCAAGTTGAACTGGCAGTAGCGACCTGTATCTAGAAAATGCTTTTTAGGTGAAAATGTGTTTTCTATATGGGTGTAATTTCCTCACACTGCTCGGTATAGCAGTTTTGTGTGTCACCTCTCATTCTGTGACCTCCGAATCTACTGGATGGGTATATTTGGGAAGTGGGACTCACAGAATGTTCGGCTCGGTCTGGCAATCAGGCTAATCTACCTCTAGGTGGGGGTACTTGGCAAGAGCCCAGAAGGCTTATCTCCGGGCACAGCTGCCAGGCATAATTGTCCCTTGGAAGAACTTGCATACGCAGGCACCAAAAGTAGAAGAGCCCCCAAGAGGCAGAACAAGAGCTCCGAGAGGGCCCATTAGGAGGCTCACCTCAGCGCTCTGCTCACTTCATCATTCCGGTACTAAAGAATGATGAACAAGCTTGGGCCACAGATTTTAACTGTGGTCTCACTTTGGAAAACAGATTAACTTTGGTGCTGGGACCAACTTGATAACACAAGTTTTCTCGGGATCTCAAATATAACTGTTCTCCACATGACTCTAAAATAATGGGACGTGAGATGCCTGGCTGTGCCCTCTGTAACTGCTTTCCTTTACATACAGATAAATAATCAGGCCAGTGAAATGATTCAGTGAAGTGATAAAGCACTTGCTGCCAAGCCTGACAACCTGAGTTCAGTCCCCAGGGCCCACATGATAGAAGGAGAGACCCGATGCCTGCAAGTTACCCTCTGACCTCCACACATGTCTTGAGGCCTGTGTGAGCATGTGTACACATAACAATGAATAGATGTTATAAATTTTTAAACAGCTGGGCAATGGTGGCACATGCCTTTAACGCCAGCACTCAGGAGGCAAAGTCAGATGGATCTCTGACTTAGAGGCCTGCCTGATCTACAGAAAAAGTTCCAGGAGAGTCAGGGCTAGACAGAAAATCTTTCTTGAAAAAGACCAAATAAAGAAATCAAGTATAAATAAAATATATTACAAATACATAAGTAATTTCCAGTGTCACAGAGGCTGGGTTGTGGCCCTGTTGACACACTACTTGCCTAGTGTACGAATGCAGCTATGTGTTACATCCTCAGTGCTGCATAAACCACTCTTGGTGGTGCATAACTGTAATTCCAGCACTCAGAAGGTGGAAGCAAGGACAAGGAGATCTTAAGTTCAAATTCATCCTCGGTTGCATAGTGAGTTCAAGGCCATCCTGGGCTACAATTTGTCTATAAGACCCTGCACACACACACACACACACACACACACACACACACACACACACACACACACACACACACACACGAACAAAATATTTCAAGGTTTTTTTCTCTGTATTTTAGAAAAAATTGGCTCTCTGTTTCTCTAGAAATAACTAACGAAGAATAGCTTTCCAAAATTCCTTTCTTGACACCGTTGTTTTTCCTTCAGGCACTAAGTTTTTCTTAACTTAGCTGAACCTGTCTGCAGACTGGGGTCACTTGACAACAGCAATGTGGAGGCTTGTTCTTGTGTTTGGGATGGAGATCTTACTGTATTGCTTAAGCTGACCTAAAGCTCCTCCTGCCCAGTCTCCCCTGGAGCCGGGGTTTACAGGTGTGCATCTAGCATCTGGCTAGAAAGTTTCATTCTTGAAGTTAGAACTGTGGAATCGATGGCCCACTCCCATTTCCTTCACCACCCAGGCTGGTGGTCAGAGCCGGCTCTGTGGTGGACCTGAGGGCCTGGAGATTTGCTTACATGAAAAGCATGTAGTTCTCTGCTGGGCTCCATACACATCCCACCAGCCAGAAGAGGAACTAGAGTGAGGTGCAGAGCAGTCAAGTTCACAGACTGCCCTAGTTATGTTTCTTTGGATGTGATAAAATATCGTGGCAAATGAAACCTGGGTGAGAAAGGGTTTATTTTAGCCTTCCATCATTGTGGGGAAGTCACAGCAGCATCAATGAATTTGAAGCAGCTAGTCACACAGTCAAGAGCGGAGAGAAGTAAATGCAAGCACTTTCTCTGCTCTTATACAGCTCAGAACTTACACCTAAGGGATGGCGCCACCCACAATGGGCAGAGCTACACAGCAATTAAAGCAGTTAATAAAAACCCTTCACGCCAGGCATGGAGGTATACCCCTTTAACTGCAGCACTTGGAAGGCAGAGACAGGCATATCTCTCTGAGTTTAAGCCCAGCATTGTCTATGTAGCACATTGCAGGCCAGGCAGGGCTATATAGTGAGACCCTGTCACAATAAAAAGTAAAAGAAAAAAAATCCTTCACAGGCATGCCCATAGGTCAACCTGATCTGGGTAATTCCTCATAAAGGCTCCCTTCCCAGATGACTCTAGACTGTGTTGAGTTGACAATTATAACTCACCATCTCAGAGCCCTCTTGTTTCTGTGTCCTGACCTTGGTTATTGAACAGAGAGACAATTGCAGAGTAAATATGCTTCAGCCTAAATTTCATTCCATGTCTGCATCGTCCTCTTGTTCTTAGTTACATTCTCTTGCCCTCCCCCCCTCTCTCATTCTCTCTCCTCTTGCTTTTGTTCTTTTAAAAAAAAATTCAGACTGACATCTATGAGTGGTTTTGCCTGCATATATGTATTACAGGTATGCCTGTGGTCCACAAAGGTCAGAAGAGGGTGTTGTATCCGCTGGGACTGCTGGTTCTCAGCTGCCATTCGAGAGCTGGGAATCCAACCCAGCACCTAAGCAAGAACGAGTGCTCTTAACCAGAGCCAACTCTCCAGCTCCTGTTTTTATTCTTTGGAAGGAGGGTCTCACACAGCCCAACCTGGCCTCAAATTCACTGTGTAGACAAGGCTGCCCAAGTGCTGGAATTACAGGTGTGTGCTGCCAAACCTGCCTCCTTCCCCTGCTCCTGTGGTAGAGTTGTTTTTTGTTTTTCTGTTTTCCCAAAATCATCTCCTTTAGCTAGGAAATCATTGTAGTGGTCATGCTTCTTGCTTTCTCTCAAAAGACACATTTAAATTGCCCAGAGCTCATTTCATGTGTTTCCTCATGATGATGGTGGCTAGTTCTGAGAGCCCAGCTCTTTACAATACCTTTGAGAACGATGCTTTGGTCATCTGCATTCCATTCCCTTGCCCAATTCCAAACTAAATGAAGTGTTATAGCCCCCTACCCCCAACACACCTGCTCTGCTAATGAGGGAGTATTTACATGGACTGAAAGGGGGGTGTCTCTAAACACCTTTGTTTTTTAAGAATCTATTCACAGTTGGGGGGGGGGGCTATTCATAAGGCAGCCATTAACACATTATTGAAGCCTTGTTGCCAGCCACAGCTGTGTTGTGCTTAATATGATAGGGTGGATTTACAAGTGCCTTTATGCTGTTCTTTTGATTTCCATGAATTTGACACAGTCAGCACTCAAGTGTGTGTGGCTGCATGGTATGCCTTAGATTCATTACATGTCTCCACTTCCAAATCATAAAAGGACCTCACCCGATACCCAGAGGCCTAGAGGAATAAACACTTCATTAGAAACGCTTCCCTTGTTTCTGCAAATCCACCCAATTAAAACCCTTTGCTTATAGAAACACACTTCAACCTTCCGTGAGAGGTTTTTGACAGTCACTGGATTTGTTTGGCCAAAAGAAAAGAAGGAATGCTGGAGGCAGTCTGTGATTTTCCATAAAGTGTAATAAGGAATATTTATGGGCCAAGGAGATGGCTCAGGAGGTAAAGTGTTTGCTGCCTGAGGTTCCCCAGCACCAACATAAAAGCTAGGTCTAGGCATGGCAACGCATGTGTATGTATGATAACACTAGGGCTGGGGCAGGCTGGGGCAGCGGGGAGGGGACACTTGGAGGGTTGTTATTCAGCCAGCCTAGACAATTGGTGATTTCCAGGTTCAATGAGAGACCCTGTCTCAGAAAATAAGATGGACCTGGCAAGATGGTTGGTAGGTGAGACACTTACCACCCAGCCTGCTGACATGAATTCAGTCCTCAAAATCCATATGGGGGAAGAAGTAGCTTCTGCAAGATGTCCTCCAACTATCACACGTGTGCCATGACACACACACACACACACACACACACACACACACACACACAAAGTTTATATAAAGTAAAGTTTAAATAAAGGGCTGGAGAGATGGCTCAGAGATTAAGAGCTGCTCTTCCAGAGGTCCTGAGTTCAATTCCCAGCAACCACATGGTGGCTCACAACCATCTATAGTGAGATCAGGTGCCCTCTTCTGGCAGGCAGGCATACATGCAGGCAGAATGTTGTATACATAATATATAAATAATCCTTTTTTTTTAAAAGATTTATTTATTTATATGATTTATTATGTGTACCATGTTCTGTCTGCATGTTGCCTGCAGGCCAGAGGAGGGCACCAGATCTCATA